CTTCTAGCCATTCAATGTGTGTCGCTCGGCTTAGGTTTCACAGGTGCCGGAAGATGATGCCCAATCCGACGTGAGTGACTTCTGACCATCCAAGTGTGATGGCAGCCCACAGCCTCCCGCGCGCATTGCTTGAACATGAAGAGGGGGGAGGGTATGCTTGCAGACCAGTGCCACCAGTTGTGCTTCCTGCCTCTTGCCTCAAGAGAAGATGCCCCAGTAATGTCAAGCCAGTGTCCTTTGCTGAGGGTAAGCTTAGGGGATGAATGTGGAAACAAAAGCGGATTGAACCTGGCCAGCCTCCAACGACTTGTTCCGATGTCCAGCCTCCAAGTGGGGCTTGTTTGGAATATGTGCATTTTGGGTGAGTCTCAAAGGTCAAATCAAAGGAAGCGCGCCAAAACTGCCTGATCTGCCTCAGCCCCAGCCCAGCTTGGACTTGACCTGCCGCTGCGCCCTTTGGCTCCAGGCGGCCAATTCTCCCGGGACCTGCCGATTCATTTGTGCGCAACTAGGGCTTTGACATGCGCAGCCCACTTTCCCGGAAAGACAAGGCATCAGTTACAGGTAGCAACTGGTCAGAGCAGATCTGAAATCCATCAAGGCAAGGCTTTGCATCATCCCAGCGGCCGGAATTCCCAAAGTCCCCTTTTCCGGCAACCATCCACCAGGCGTTCTCGTGAACACCCGCCTTGCAATCCAACCAGTTTTGTCAACCTCACACGTTTTTTCTCAGCCCAACTTTCTCCCCCGGCAAGAAGAAGCCTCCCATCTGCGAAAGCTTCGGCCCCCACGGCCGGCCGGCCGCGGGTTTTGAAGCGGCGCGGTTTGCAAGCCGAAGTCTTTGCCTGGATGCGTTTTTCCTTTCTTTAAAGCACACCCCCAAAATGGTGGTTGTGCTTTGGTTTCCCTTTCAGCCCAAAAGGGGGAGTTCCCTAAGGGACACAACCTGACGACTTGTCCCCATCCTTTTCTCGCTGAGGCCATTTCGTGCACAACGGCACGGCGCTAAAACGAGGCGATGGACACGAGAAGCTCGCTGCAGCAGGGGGCGGTGGGGGCCATTGGGTCGCTGCCGGGCACCATCTGTGCGCACCCGCTGGACGTGGTGAAAATCCGCCCCTCCGGTCGGAGTGTCGGAGTGGGGCGTTTTTCCCGAGGGAAGTGAGGGTTCCAGTTAGGGGCCAAGGGAAATGGAAGCCACTTCCGGAGAATCTGGACATACTTTTTGGGACCATTTTAGTGGCAGGAAAACAAGTTGGTCTGCTTTCGGCTCACCAAACTCAGGAAGTGAGGGAGCAGACACCTTGATCACTGCAGCGAGCGTTTCTGGGGTTCTGAAAATTCTAGCTTTCCTGTAAACTGCAGTCTAGAGGGTAGTGAGGATGGCACTTCAGTCCAGGGGGTTCGGAAAGCGATACCACTTAGATAGTACACAACCCCGAAAGTTCCCAGCCGTGCAATTGTCGAGCTACCTGCACCCAGATCCCACTCGACATACCTGCACCTAGATCAAGTGGACTCGCGTGCTGCACCCGAGCGGCTGTGTTTGCAGGCGAGAACATGAGTCGATGCTTGTCTCCGCGAAAGGAACCAGATTCTTCGGGGGTTCTTGCTTCAATGGGCGCTCCCATTGTCTTTATGGGGCCTTGCCAGGTTTCGCCTTGTGGCCAAACCCACGGCTTGGCAGCATAGGGATTGCGTTGAACGGAGGCATTTCCAAGCCCAGGCAGACAGCTCTTGGTGTAGATGTTTTTGTGGCTGCCTTTGGTGCTGCTTTTGACTTTGGCCCGAGGCTTGCGAATCAGAGCAATGTGGAACAAGATGTGAGTTGCTACTTTCTGTGGCGAGCTCCGAGGTTTGCAGACTACGGATTGCGGCGCCGTGGCATCGGACGGGCAGAACGCTGGTGTATACAGCGCTGAGTCTTGTTTCTTCAGGAGGTGTCCTGTATTTGCGTGTTTTTGCTTTTCTCTCGGGCAAGTCAACGCTTACAAGAAATCAGATCTGTGTTGATGGACGTGGGGCAGGGGGGCCGGCGTATAGCATAAAAGAAATGAATAGAGGCCACCAAAGAGAAAGGGAAGCGCCAAGACCGAAAGCCGCAAGGCGGCTACTGAGCCGGCCATTTCTTCGCGTCTGAGCTTCAGCTTCCCTCCAATTGGCGAACACCGGAGCGGTTTGGGATTCGAACCTTTGGGTCCTGTAGAGAATGGGCAACCATCACTCCAATCCACCAAACCGTTGGGTGGTACCCTTTTCCCCCCCACCACTGACCAAACCGCCAATGGGCTACCCACCAATCGGAAGGAAGCTGATCCTCCCGGCCCCGGGCGGTCGACTCGGCTCGTCGAAGCCCCGCGTCGGCTCGGAGCGTGGAGCGCCGCTTCGGCCCGGAGCGAGGCTCGCACCTCACCGCGGCGCGGAGCATCTTCTACTCCAAGGGGCTCTGCGGGTTCTACCAGGGCCTGGGGCCCTAGTGCCGAATCGGGCCTCGATGTTTGGTGTACCTTTTGAAGGGTGGTGCTCACGGGAACGAAACGACCTGGGAAAAAAGGGGCATGAAGACACCCATGTTGTTGCGGTCTTGTTTTTTTTGAGGGGGGGCTTCGGAGACAAGCCCTCCTCACTCCCTGAGTTCCTGGACTTACTTTTTGGGAGGACCCTTTAGTGTCTGGTGAACTTGGGTAGCAGGGGTTTGGGGCATCTCTGTAATTGATTTCCATTAAAGGCTCCCCAATGAAAATTCCACAACATCCGGTATCCTGGTGTTGAGTAAGCATGGAACTCACCAGAAGTTTCCCGAGATAATTACTTTTCCAGTTTACAGGGTGCCTCCTTCAGCAAGATAGTAGAAGAGCAGCATCTCATGTTAGATCTCATGTAGTGTCTCATGATTGGGACCCTCCAGAGAGAAAACAACAACAACTAGCAATCGGGTGGGTGATCAGGGCTGGAAAAAGCAGGCTGAGCTGAAAAGAAGGGCTTGAAGGTTCGATCTCATCCATGAAGGCTCCTTCTGTAGAATTCTCTTATTGCTGGTTCGATGGGGTGGGTACTATAGCTACATGACCGAGACTTGATACCCTGCCTTTGGCAGAAGCAGAGAGCTATTTACCGTATGGGCGTTGATCCAGGGAGGCGTTGATATGAAGCAGGTGGTGCACCTCGAAGGACTCCAAATCGTCTAGCCGACAATACCTGCAAGCATAGGTGTCTTTTTTTTGGTTGTTTTACTTGAAAAATAGATGGCTGCGGTTTACCTGGTGGTTCAATCATCTACCAGGGCCATCTATTTCCCGCAAAAGGACGCCTATGCTCATGGAGCGGGCATTTTTTGTCCAGAGCTTGGAGCCAGCTTCCCTCCCAGACCGGTGGTTCGGAGCAAGCCCGGTGGTTTGGTGGTCAAGGGATGTCTGCAAGAAGAGGTTCGAATCCAAATCCACGGCACCGGGCTCCAAGCCACCGATGAAGGGTAGCTTGATGGAGTGCAATGCCCAGACCTGTCCTGGTACACGACAGGTCTCGAAAGGTGCTGGGTGATGGGGGCATCGGTTGCGATATTCATTGGTCTCAAAATGTCCTCCAGTGTTGGATTGATTGCGATTTGCCCAGCCGGTTTTTCGGAGATACCCTCAAATTTGCCTTCAAAAGATGAAGCGAACTCCAATGTTGCGGACACCCCAGGGCAAGGTTCACTTTGATGCGAACAGTCACTTGGAAGCACGCTTTACCATCTTTCGTTTAGACGTACGTATGTCTCTAGAGGGTTTGATCCATGTTTGCTCGCCCTGCATTTTGCTCTGCATGAAACGAAGGGTCTCAGGTTATACTTGCATATCCCTACAAGCCAAAAAAGAAGGATATTTGGGTCAGTACCCTCGGCCCCGGTCCAACCCCTGTAGAATGAATCCCAGCTAAAACCATTTGTTTTGCTTGGCGTGCATTCGTGGGGTATGTGGATACAACCGAATCCCCATGATGTTCACCAGAGTCACCAGAGGGTCCGAAGATGAATTCAGTTCCGTCTAAGTACGACGGGTCCATCAACATGGCATCCCCAGAATTACACCCTAGCGGGTGGTTTGAAGGGAAACCACCCCAGCAGTAATTTTTGGAACCCCTACAATCGCTTACTATGATAGAAACAAACCAAGGGAATCTTGACTCTAGGTTTTACATCACGTAAGTAGGACCAGAGTCTAATTGTCGGACGCTAATCCTGATGGCCACCAACGGGTCCATTGATACTAGTTCAGCTTATTTCAGCTTCAACAAGGCTGGAGCCCATGTAAGTCTAGCAACCCTCAAACAAACTATCTTAATTTCAGGCTTCTCTGGCTGACCTTAAGACTTTGAGGGGAAGGTCCAAATGTTGACATGTTAACTTCGTTTTTTTTTCTCTTTTTTCTGGAGGACCTTGCGACTTGAGGGGTGGCTTCTGGGTTGGTACGTGACTAGTAGGGTTCTCCGCGGCAATCCGATTGAAGGCACTCGCCAATCCCCAAACCTTGGCGCTGGTTTTGACCGGAGGTCTGATGCCAGCGCTGGAGCAACGCTTCCTGTCGCGAGGGCCCATGTTCCTGGTCTCGGAGGCACGGGCAATGGTTGTTTGATTCTGATCTCCCTGGTTTGGCTTAGGGTTGTGTCAGTCGTTTGCTTTGGTTTTTGTTGCTTGAGTTTGTTGTGTTGTGTTTTGTTTGCTTGCTTGTGTTGAGTTGTTTTGATCTGTTGAACGTGTTTTTGTATCGCGCTTGGCTGTGTTGTGTTGTTTTGTCGTGTTGTGTGTTGTTTTGTTTTGTACCGTTTGGTTTTGTGTGCTTGTGTTGAGGGTTTTTCAACAGTTTTGTGTGTCGTTTGTTCGTTTTGTTTGTTGTTTTTGTTGTGTTGTGTTTGTTTGTTTGTTTGTTTGTTTGTTTCTTTCTTTCTTTGTTTGTTTGTTTGCATGCTTGCTTGTTTGCTTGCTTGCTTGTATTGTCTTGCATTCTATTGCATTGTATTCTGTTGTATTGTATCGTATTGCATTTTGTTCTATTCTATTCTATTCTATTGTATTTTGTTGATTGTCATGTTTGTTGTTTGCTTTGTTTTGTTAGTGTTGTGTTTTGTTTTGTTGTGCGTTCGGTTGTTTTGTCGTGTGCTGCGTTGCGTTGCCTCTTGTTTGTTTGTTTGTTTGTTTGTTTTCTGTCTGTCTGTCTGTCTGCCTGCCTGCCTGCCTGCCTGCCTGCCTGTCTGTCTGTCTGTCTGTCTGTCTGTCTGTCTGTCTGTCTGTCTGTCCTTTTTTTTGTTTGCTTGCTTGCTTGCTCGCTTGCTTGTTTTTTGTTTGTGTGCATGTTTGCTGCGGGTTGTTTTGTTTCGTGTCGTCTTGTTTGTTGTCTTGTTTTGCCGTGTGCTGCTTTGGGTGTTGTGTTGTGCTGCTTTGTCGTGTTTTGTTTTGTTGCGGTTTGCAAATTGGTTTTTGTTTGTTTGTTTGTGTGCTGGCTGGTTTGGTTGGCTGTTTGGCTGGCTGGTTGGTTGGTCGGTCGGTCGGTTGGTTGTTGGTTTAGTTAATGTTTCTTTCTTTGCTTGCCTGCTTGTTTCTGGCTTGTTAGTCTGTTTGTTTGTATTTTTGTTTGTGTTTGTTTACTTGCTTGTTTGTTTGCTTGTTTGTTTGTTTGTTTGCTTGCTTGTTTGTTTGTTTGTTTTTTGTTTGTTTGTTTGCGTGTTTGTTTCGTGTTGTCGTATTTTGTTTTGTTTGGTTTTGTGTCGTGCTGTGGTTCTTTGGTTTCTTTTGTTTTGTGTTCTGTCGTTTGTGCTTTGTTGCTTGCTTGCTTGCTTGCTTGCTTGCTTGCTTGCTTGCTTGCTTGCTTGCTTGCTTGCTTGCTTGCTTGCTTGCTTGCTTGCTTGCTTGCTTGCTTGCTTGCTTGCTTGCTTGCTTGCTTGCTTGCTTGCTTGCTTGCTTGCTTGCTTGCTTGCTGCTTGCTTGCTTCTGCTTTGCTTTGCTTTGCTTTGCTTTGCTTTGCTTTGCTTGCTTTGCTTGCTTGCCTTGCCTTGCCTTGCCTTGCCTTGCCTTGCCTTGCCTTGCCTTGCCTTGCCTTGCCTTGCCTTGCCTTGCCTGCTTTGCTTTGCTTGCTTGCTTGTTTGTTTGTTTTTTTGTTTGTTGTTTTGTTTGTTTTGTTTGTTTGTTTGTTTGTTTGTTTGTTTGTTTGTTTGTTTGTTTGTTTGTTTGTTTGTTTGCTTCTTTGTTTTTCAGTTTGCTTGTTTTTATTGGTTATCTGTCTTGTTTGATTGGTTATCCATTCGTGCCTAGATTCTTGCTCCGGAACCCGGTTACAAAGCACTGGTGCTGTAGATCTCGAGCGGGACACTTGCTGCTGTGTTCATCCGAGACACGCAGGATGAGCTCCCATCCGCTATCGCGGAGCTGGCGGTCTGTGTCAGTGGAAATTGGCCTAGGGACCAGGCACCCTAGTTGAGGTGCAATGCCAGGGCAACTGGTGATCAACATGTTTTTCAAACAATTTTCCCGTGTTGTTGACCATGTTGCTTCGGATTTATCGGATTTTCCCCTCTTTCAAAACCCGCAAGCCGGACGCCCAACCCCGATTTTTCCCCGTTTTGCACCTCCGGAAGGCTTCCGGAAATCAAACAACGCCGGCGCGCCGCACCCCTTGGCAGGTGTGCACCCAGCAGGTGTCGAAGCACTTGGCGTGCAACGAGCTGCAGGCGAGGGCCTGCGGGTCCAGCCTCAGCGGATATTTGGTAGGCGCGGGTGCCTGGGGGGGGCTTTGGGGTGGGGGGCGTTTTTTGGAAGGTTGAAGGAGCCAATGAGCTAGGGGTATCCAAATTTTCCTTTGAAGAGGGAGCTAAGGAGCTGATTGCCAGGAGTAGTTCACCCTCCCAAAGGGCTCGGCGGATATAAATCCCCACCGAATTTTGATGTCCACAATTAAAATCAGTTTTTGTTTGAGAACCTCGGTGCTCACCAAGCCTTTTTTATATATATATATATATATATATATATTTATTGATTTTTTTCTTTTTGGGGGGGGGTTGAGGATGCGGTGCGGGGGAGAAGAGCAGAAGTTTGTTTGTGGTTTCCGCCCCTTGCCGGAAAATCCATCAATGTGTCTACACGAGGGTCCGACTCTACCCGCCCACCAATGGCTCTCGAAGCCAAGCGGTCGGAGTTCCCATGCGCCATAGCCAGCAGCAGCTGTCCAGAATGCTCAGGCATGCTCATGCTTTCAGTCAGCTTCTCTCCCCTTTTGGAGACCTTCTCGCCGCATGCAAGCACAAGTAGGGAAGCCTTGCTCGAAGCGGAAATGAATGGCGTTCTTTTTTTCAGGGGTTTCCAGCGGGCCAAAAGCGGGGGGGGGGGGGGGGGGTCGTCACCTGCGGGTAAAAAGGGCAAGCCATTTTCCCACTACCAGCCAAGCTGGTTGAGCCTCCAAGCCTCTCTTCGCCAGGGCTGCTTATGCTTCTCCCTTTGGGGTGCTTTGAGCATCCTCTAGGCCAATTCGAAGTTTTGGATTCGCGCCGCTGTTCCCCAGCAACTTTTGCCAAGGTGCCCGAAGAAACGCAGCTTGGCCCCCTCTCGGGGTGCTGTAGCTACAAATCGCTGCCCTGCCTCTTCGCCGGAGGCTTCCTACAAGGCCTCCCCGAGTACCGGAAGAAGCTGTTGAGCCAGGGGGTGGTCACAGCATCTGATGCACGCCGCTCGAAAACTGGACGGGGTGGAGTCTGAACGGGGAGGATGGACATGTGTCACGCGAGCCTTTTTTTTTCTTGTGTTGCTTTTTTTTGCCGGGGCGAGCGCCCCTGACCCACCGCCCAGATATCAGATATTGTCAGATATTGGCTCCTAGCTGCTTAGGGAGCCCAAAGAAAAGAAGCAGTACTTCTCCAGTTCATGCCCCGTGTGTTTTGTTTGTGTGTGTGTGTGCAAGTGGGGATGTAAGCCTAGAGAGGGTGACACGTGTCCAGGGCCAATCGTCATTCACCGAGGAAGGGCAGGTTAGGAGGCATAGGCACATGCCCCGTCTCCGCGATTTGCTACAAGTTTCCCCAGCCCAGAGACCCCACGCATGAAGAAGCCGTTTCCTGGGCTTAGCCCATGAAAACGCGACAAATGGTTCTCACAATGAAATGTCATTTCTAGACCAGGTCAGCAATCGTGGATGCAGCCAGGTCCCAGCTAAAGCCCAGATTTCGGACTGCCTTCCTGGGTGTGTCTGGCCAATCTTTCACGCCAGGTATTTTTGTCAGTGAGCAACGTGAGTGGCTTTGTTTGTCCAAAATATGATCCTGTGCAAATGGGTTGTTTGACAACCCACCAATCGTTGATTAGCCCCTGCCCCCAAAAGAAAACTAGTTGGTAGTAAAAAACGCAACTTCCCAAGCCCCATGGCATTTCGTGCAGAAGAAAGCCTTCTTTCCCGTGACGGAGAGGTACTTCAGAAACTGCACATGAGAGTGAAACCCCATAGGATCCCATAGGTGTCAGCTGCAGGTTCTCTTTTTCTGCCAGGGTCGCTGAACAGCTCGGGGCCTTGTGCTCCCCCGAATTCCCCTCCTCCCCCTCCGCTCCGCCGCTCCGCTGCCGGCTTTCAGCTTAGGTTGGGGCCGTCTGTGTCAAGAGGCCTACGGCGCAGGGCTGTGGCGCACCGGCCTGCTGCGGCGCATGCACGCGGCCGCCCCGGCCTCAAGTAGCCGGCTCTTCCCCACCTCCCCACCTCCAGTTCTGCGCGTGGCTCGGGGGCGCGTGCAGGTAGGGAGGGAGTTTTCCGTGAGTTGCACATCTGCGATGGCAGCGCTTGACGACGACCAGATGTGACTGGTGGCTGCCTTCAAACAAGGTGTCTAGGTTCGCTTTGGGCACAACCAAACCCATGGTTTGCCTTGGGTAAACGTGCGCACAGACAGAGGGGGAGCCCGCTTGAACATGCGCACACAGGTGCACCTACTATAGCGTCCTTGGTGTGTCATGCACCCATGCCGATAGCGTATGTTTTGGCACTTCACTGCCCAAGGTAGTGATGGATTGCGCATCACGCACCTGGAATGGATGAACAACCCATGACTTATGGTTGATAAACCACCTTCTGGTTGGTGTGGGAAGTAAGGTGGTGTGACATAGGGGGCCCACCCCAAATCTGACAAAATCCCAGAGAACGATTTTTTTGGGTGGAGCCGGGGCGTTTGAGGCGTTGTGCTGCTCCGCGTTCGACGGGACCTTCTTTTGCACCCGCCCCTTGGAACTGCAGAAGGGGGGGGGATCGGAGTGCCATGGAACCAGGACCCCCTGTAAGGTTCCGTGTTTTTGCTGGGAGGGTACGTCTTTTGGGGTTCCCAATGTTGGTCCGGAGCCCAGGAAAGGGCGTCTGTACTTTCCGGAACGGAGACCCAGCCATACACGAGGCCGTGCACGTTTGATCACGGGTCCCCCATTAAAAGGGAGTTTTGAAGCCAGGCAACCGGGTGTGTTTGTCGAGGGTACTCTTTCAGGTTGGCTTAAAGGCAAGCGAGGTGGCAAACCGGCATTGGGGCCCCAAAAAGCCCAAAATGGTTGGGGGATGGAGGAACATCGGCCAACTCAAGACTTTTACCTTGCAGTTCCCCAAATTTGCGGCCTGCCTGGGAGGTGCCCGTTTTTTGGGTTGGTGCTTGATTTCGGATACCATGCCCCCTAAATCTTTTGGGCCGCCGCCTGCGGCCCGCATGCGGGGTTCATCGGCAGATATTGGACTTTCGTCCAGCCGACCAGAAAAATACGCCTTGCAGATGAGTACAGGCCTGTTACCCCGAAGGCAAAGGGAGTATTCCATTCCCTGAAGGGCACACCTCCCCATCACAGTCGGGTGAAAAAACAGCACACTCTCCATGTTGGTTTAGTCATCGCCTTTAGTTCCCTCACAAGGGACTTACTTGTGCCATCCACCTTGAGCGCTCCTATCACAGCCAGGGGCTTGTCAATCCCTTAAGCCATCATCCAAATGGAGGGTGCCATTTTGTTTATTTTTGTCTTTGGGGGGGGGGGGGGCATGTTGTTTCTTTTTGTCTTTGGGGGGTGGTGGGGGGGGTGTTCAAGGGAAACCCAAAAAGGACCGCCACCATTTTGAAACGGCCTCCGACCCAAAAAAACTGGCTGAGGGGATCTTCTTCTGCGGCATTTCTCGCACCCCTTGGCCTACGGCCTGGCCGCGGCCGCGGCCGTGCTGGTGGCGTATCCCATCGACACCGCGGTGTCCAGGCGAGCGCTGGGGTGGGCGAGGGGCGGGAAGGGGGGGAAGGGGGGGGAGAAGAAGGGAAGGCTGCTGGGACACATGGCAGCAAAACCCCGGGGAGATGAAGGTTGGTAAGGGAGAATCTGAAAGAATGATTGGGCGCAGCCTGTTTTTTTGTTTCTTTACACAGTTTTGGGTCGAGCATTTAGACAGGTTTTGAATTTGACACCTGTGGGGCAGTTTCTAGAATAGGGCAAGACCCCCAAACAGGTTGGCTTCCGTGGTTTTTTTCCCTTTTGGGGGTGGGGTCCCTTCGGAAACCCAACCAAAAAGGGTTTCCCAAGCAAAGTCACACCCTTGTGTACAAATTGGTGTTTCCATCATGAACATAGACATATCTTTCTTTGCGAGGCGCTAATTCAGAAGGGAGCCAAGCATAGCCATTTGGGTCTCAGAGACGGGTTTCGTTTCTGCATCAGCGTGGCAGTGAATCCACCGTGCGCCCAGGTGCTTCCCACATTCCCTCAACGCTCGGCCTATCAAAGCGAGCAGCTAAGCCCTCTCCCAAAGCGATTTGGTCGGCTCTTGTTAGCGAATCATTATGGCCGAATCTATGGCTGGGTGCCGCATGAGCGCCTGCATGAGCACGCGCATGAGGCCAAAGTGACCGTCAGGAAGCCTGTTTGAATAACGGTACCAAGGGCTGCCCGGGATGGTTCATTTTGATTTGCGCGAGGAACCTCTACTTTCCATGTTGCCAACAAACCGTGCCTTCCATAAACCTGCCGAAACCCACGCATGTGGATGTTTGTTGACGGGAAGGATCAGTCAGCAGATTGGGGAATCAACTCCATGTTGCAAATTGAACAACCTAGTTCAAGGCGGGTCAAATTGGTCACGCACGCACCCGCCCAAAGGCTGCAAGTCAGCAGCAGATGTGAGAAATCGGCCATCATGGCCAACCCCAGCACAGTCGTTTTATCTCGCTTGCTCGGGTTTCCCCCCCTCAGGATGATGATTGTTCCGCCGCGGCAACCGGTCGCTCGCCTGAGCGCCTTGTCATGAGGCTAAGTGGCTGAAGCTCAACGAAAGTTCATGGGGCACAACCTATGGCTCCATTTTGGGGTGGATGAACATCCATTTGCCACCTGATTATTTTGATGTTTACCAGGGGTGCAGGGTTTTGACCCACAGCCATATCAAGGCATCCACTTGGCTGGCAGATTTCGGCCTGAGTCATTTTCAGGCCTTTCTAGGCGGCCTTGTTATCCGTGGATGGCATGCCATAGAATATAATCAATCCCTTGCCCCGCCCTTGTTTGTTCAAAAAGAACCCGAATAATAACCCCGCGGTGCGCTTTCAAAAGAGACCTTTTGGAGGGAACCTAATGGAAAACCTAATGGAGACTAATAAATGGGGGGGGGTTATTGTTAGGGGAAGGTATACTAATTGCGAAAAGGGATTAGGGCCCGTTGACCATGGAATGTGAGGACGGCCTGCATTGACGCATGTTTCACCAGGAACAACCTTTTCCAGCACCTCTAAGGGATGTAACGTGGCTGAGCTATGACCAAGGACTCCTGGCCAGAGCACGCCCCCAAGTCGTCGGCTCATGGGCGCTTGATCTCATAGCGATTCGGACTGGGAACGCGTCAAGTTTGGGGCCCTAAAATGTGTGATTTCTTCCTCGGAACCGAGGACACTACATCTTCCCTGATGCCCGAGCATTTCGGGGCCTGCCCGCGCGCGCGGGCGAGTTCTTCATCTCCTACGCAGTCACCGGCACGGTGGAGATGCTGTTCCTCGCCTCACGGTGAGGTTGTGAGGTCTGAGATGCATCCACCGTAACGTTTGGGGTGTCCTAAAAGACGGTTGCCGGACTTTACCCTTCCTCCAACAAACATAGCACCTGCAAGAGTGTACCTCAAAGATCAGTTTCCTGTTAAAGGAACCCCTTGTAAGGTGCTATGTTAGTGGGACGGAGGGTATACTTTGGGAATCTTGGACTTTAGTGGTCAGCCACTCACGGAAGTGAGGAAGGGGTTATAGATTTGCTGTTGGGGACACACCCTCCTATTTATTTGCCAGGATTATGACTCCGGGTCGGCTTTGTGTTTGCTTTGTTTGCCTTTCAAGCCATCCGAACAAAGGCCAAGGGTCCGCCGGTTTAGGACACACCGAGGGCATAGAATTCAGGGTTCCTGAAGGAACGTGGCCTAGTTCTTAACAAGACACGTTGGTCACAAGCTGCTTAGTGCTACCCAAATTGGAGGTAGGAAAACTATGTGGCTTGCTTCCCGGAAGGACTGGCCCACCTTTGAAGATCCCGGTTAGGAACCCTGAAGACTTGCGGGCATTGCGCGGCGCGGTGGGACTGGTGGAAACAGACGGCTGCTGTAAATGAAGAACATTGCTTGCAGGTGCTGCTGAATACTTAAATTAGTTAAGGGGATTTCCGCTGTGGGTCAAAAGAAGCCATCAACAACTTTGCCAGCCATGTCCAATCGGTGTTTCTTCAGTGTAGATCAGGGCATTGGCGCGCAGGAAAAAACCCTTTCCCTTAGTTTTCCCCGATGGCTTGGGCTCGGGCCTCCGGGCCCGGAGGCACTCCGGGCCTCCGGGCCCGTGATCTGGGTGCCTGGCCCTTGGCTCGCTGCACCGGCTCCCGTGGTGGCCAAATTGGCCGCCTTGGAAAAAGACCGCTGGGGCAGTGGGGGCGGTCCATGCCGCAGCAGGGAATGAGGGAGGAGGCATGTGTGTTCATTCGAGTTCATCTGGGGATAACTCGAGCTCACCCACAAAAACCAGGTTGCGCCAGGGGTTTTCGGTGCGAGCTGGCAGAAAGAAGGTCAGACACATGAGGTGCTTTTGAGGTAGGATTTTTTGTTGCTTTAGAGGGGGGCCAAGGGAAATTGAAATGACCGATGTTGAGCGTTCCCCCGATTTGGAGACCAAATTTTCATGATCTCTGAGGCGGGGGGATTGTTGCGCATAGGCAGTGGGCGAAAAAAAGACTTGCGCGAGCGAGTCCCAGCACCTCGGCCATTTGGTTGGCTTCTTTGTTTCGAGCTTCACCTATTGGTTGCCATCTTATGAGTTTCCCCTCGGATTTTTCAAGTTGACATCTAAGGAACCCTTGGGGGACTGCATCGCGGCAATCAGTCGGAGCCGATGTTGGGGCTTTTTTGGGAAGCCTGTTCAGTGATTTGGATTGGGGGTTTAGGCACTGTGAACCTCCGGTTGCTCTGACTTTTGTTGAGGCCGGATGGGAAAGCAAGCCAGACCCATCCAACAGCCCATCCGACTAGGATCTGGGGAGTGTTCGCCGTACGCCCGCAAGCGCGCATTTGCCCGCCTCTCGCTCGCCTTTGGGCACAGGTATGTGTGTTTCCTTCCCTCGGGTTGTAGGCTGAGTCAGGTGCCATAGGCGAGGCTTATCCCAGCTTCCGACAAAAGGTTTGCTGACTCGGCGTTTCCGGGCTGCCGCTGCCCGGCCATGGGGAAGGGGGCGCAGATTCCGCCCAAAGGCTGGGGGTTGGTGCGCTGCAAAGGACGATGCTGTGAACCTGAAATGGACAGCACGAAGCTTCATGCTGTGATCTATATATTAGGCAAATATGTATGTAGAGGTGTTCACGGATATGTGCCGTTTTCGATTTTAAGTATTGTAAGGAGAATGACTCGGCGCGGTTTGTGAAAAAGCCAGTGTGTGGTTCGGGCCCAGGTGTGTGAAACCCTGCATTTACCACCCAGCTGAAATAAACCTTGGCCCCCGTTGCACCGCCTGCTCTTCCTGCCATGCCAGTATCTTTCAAACCCGACGTATTGTAGCACGGGGACCTTGCATGCGGATCCCGTGCTCCTTTTCTGTTTCCCTCGATGGGTGGGATGCTGGCGATGTTTGGTGCGGCCGTTGCGGGTTGGAAATTGAGGAATTGCTCCAGGTGAAAGTGGGTCGCGCAATTCCCCATGTCGGAGAGCAAGCAACAATTCAACCTGAATGGGGAGAAAGTGCCATTTGCAGTATTTCCGCTGTAGCACCAATTTCTACCCCCGCACAGTTGCAAGGGAACTCATCAAAATCCCTTGTAACAAATACTGGCATAGATTTGGATTTGTTCGGGCCTCTCCCCCGTCTCAGCGGCTTCCTCGCACAAGGGTCTATTTAAGTCAATCTTCTTAAATTAATTGAAACCTATGAAACACACATGAATCCCTCTCTCTCTCTCTCTATATATAACTGTGTCTTACATGTTCAACACTTTAAAACAAATTGATATAAGAATAGGGTCTTCCGTGGCCTTCGCGAGGCCGGCTGGCGGCCACGGGCCAATACTTGCCCAAGAGCGGGGGCTGCATCTCCACGAGTAAATCGGGGAAGGCGTGCCAGCGACCCCGGGAGAGCAAGCTGATCCCCTACTGCAAGCAGTGCCCCTTGGATCCGAAAATTGAACCCAGGGGGCGCGAGCGCTTTTTTTGGGTTAGATGCTTTGGAGTCAGTCTGTGTCGAGGTTTGGTGCCATGGAAAATCCTGGTCCTTTTCTGCAATGATGATGGCAGAACAGATTTAAATCCTAGGCTGAGGGTTGAATGTTGACCAGGCTTGCATCCAGCCATGTAGCCAATCCTGGGTTCAAGGCGGAACCCGGGAGAGGTGTCTCAAAATGGGGGATCGCAAAATTCCCGCCCCTCCCCCTGCCTCCCCCTTCCCCAAACTGGTGGTTTCCCTTCAGTTTCCCTGACCCATCCCAAGGGGCAGCCCCCGCCGGTTCCTGGCCGCCGTTCTCCTAGGCATGGAGAAGGGGGACCCCTCGCTGAAGGCGGTGAAGCACCCGCGCCGGGCCCCCGAGCGGTGCTTGGAAGCTGTCCTTGTGGCTGGAGCTGACGGCTTGTTTCATTCATCCCCGATTGGGTCCTAGCAACATTCGATGACTCTGCGATCTGTGGCTTTTAGTTTTGGACTTGTCGGAATCAAAGCCCAAAAGGTTTGGCTTTTCCATGGCTCCTGGTTGCAAACAAAAAGGCGGAATGATGTTCGAATCAAAGACCCCCCATCACCAAATGGCCAAACAAACACCGTGTCTTCGAAGGAGTAGTTGATCTGAGATTTGGAATTGCAGCAAGCGCGATGCAAGGCGTTTGAGCGGGGAGCGGGGGGCTCCACATACTGGGCTGGGTCATTGATCCGCAACACCAAAGGTTCGTGAGGTCCCTGGGTTTAAAGGTCCGAAGCTTCGGGACCGCTCGCAGGCTGGGCTTCGCGAAGGGGGGGATCTTCTTGAGGCTTCGGGAAGATCCTCATAGCCACCCGGAACCTGCCCAAGGGCTACTACGTGGCCTGGTGGGGCAAGCTCTGGAAGAAGACGCACGTCCGCACCGGTCTTGCTCGCGCCGGATGTGCGGGAAAGAGTGGGCCTAGGAAAGTCGATATTCTAGGGTGTGTTGAGGATGTGGGATGTTGGCAGTTGTGGTATGTTTGTTCGGTTGTGGCGTTTTGCTTGGAATGTCTTTGGGATGTTTTGGTTGGGAGTTGGTTGGGTCGATTAGTTGAGCCCTTTCCCTCATTGTGAGCATGAAGACGTTTTTCTTTTTCTTTTGCTGGTTAACAATGGAGCCCCTTCCCTTCGCCACCGCGCGCTCGCGCGCGCAATCGCGCTCTTTCGCGAGGAAGGGCATCCCCAAGAAGCGCATGGAATGGGCGCTGGAGACCACCAAGGGCATGGTGGACGCCGTGCCCTTCCCGGGCAGCTTGCTCAAGTTTTGTGCCTGCCCAGGCGCCGACAAACGATCTACTCGCTCACGTGGATGGGGCTATAGGTCCGCTAGGTTGGCTTCTTGACTGGGATTAATGGGTTTGACCCACTACCGTGGCCAATACTTTGGACAACTCGGGGATGGGTGAGCTTTCCGAGCTTGCCGATTTGGGGGGGGGGGGTAAAAGCAGAGACTTTACCCATGTTGTAGGTCCTTTGCCTGGGCAATCCAAGTCGTACTTTTCAAGCCTTTAAATGATTGCGGAGTTTGCAGATGCTTTGACATTTTGCGCATGTTGAACATCACTGTTTTGGCCCGTAGGTGTGAATTATCTCAAGTGGAAACAAAAAGGAGACCAACCAGTCATGGGGGTTCCCCATATGTTGACACATGTTGACACACACCCAACTCGACCACGCCCAGCTTTGACCCAAAAAAATCAACCGCACCCAGCTCAGCTCGGCCCATGTCTCTGCGTCGCAGGCCCCAGCGAGCTGCCGACCATCGACTTTGCCCCGAACAGCGCTGGGGCCCCGTTGCGTGACCCCGTTTTACCGTGTTACCGTTTCACCGTTAACGTCTTCCCTCAGGAATCTATGGGGAAAGACCGACCCCACCGCCTAACCAGCACAGACCCCCAAAAAGGTGTGCAGATTTCCAGCTGGGGGTACTATCCAAGCTGGCTATCCTTAAAAAAATCGCTTTGAAACAAGCTGAAAAAGCTCCCCCCAGCCCGGCCCCAGCTCAACCCCAACCCCAAAACGAAGCCCCGGGTGAGAAATCGAGGACCTCCTCCTCAAGAGCCGGGAGAAGTTGGCGGCGGTGATCTTCCGGACTTTGCGGCCCATCCCCCGGCACTGGCAGGCGCCATGGGGCACCGGGGTGCGGCGCACTGGCCCCGGCGTGAGGCAAACACGTAAGAACCTGGGAGTCGGTGTGCAAGTTTCTTCGTGCCTCTCAATCATGGGTGGTTTGCCTTGGCACCCCTTTGCATTGCCTTCAAAGCAACCCAAGAAGACAACGTTATATATATATATATATATCTCTCTCTCTCTCTTCAGGGCTGGTTCTGCTGAGTCTGTAGGTACTTCAGGGCTGGTTCTTCTGAAGATGGACGGTTGCCCAACTAGCCAAATTGGCCAGGCATGTCGCTATGTGAGCGTTTTGCCCCGTCCTTGAAGGGTCCTTACATGGGATGTATCAACATGGCGTTTGTGCAACCACCTCTGCTCTGTGCTCTGATGGCGCTTGGCAGCGCTGAGCAGGACGACCTGATACAGCTTTGGAAAGACAATTGTGAGAGCCAAGAGGGTTCATAGCATGGAAGGACCTTAAAATGGCCTAAAGGTTTGACTTTGCCCTTGCCACAATCCATGTACTTCCATATCCATAGCAAAACAGCCCTTGCCCCTGGCACAGCAGGGTGCTGGCTTCACAGCTGAGTATGACACGGCCAGAACTCCAGAACCACAACAAGTGGGTACAACAAAGCCATGAAACCGGGGTGTGTCATCTTGTTGTGGTTCACACGCCCACAGCCCATCCTTGTTGTACAAAGCGCGCTTTTCCACAAGAAGTGGTTCAACAAAGCCATGACACCCCACAACAAGTGGTACAACCAAGCCATGAAACCTCAAAACACGTTTTTCTTTCAGGTGGATATGATGTACAACAAGGACGAGAAGAGCACCGACGAGTTCTTCAAGGAGCGGGGCGTGGCCCGCGGGGACGTGGGCACCAAGAGGTACCCTGCTACTCGGACAAGGGGTGCGAAGGGGTTTGGGGTGGTTTGGGGTTTGGGGGGGGTTTGTGGGGGTTTGGGGGCGTTTGGGGGGGTCTGGGTTTGGTTTGGGGGGGTTTGGGGTTTGGGGGGGGGGGTTTGGGGGGGGTTTGTGGGGGGTTTGTGGGGGTTTGGGGGGGTTTGGGGGGGTTTGGGGGGGGTTTCTTTCTTGAAAAACCTCTTCCCCCGTCCAAGGGTGTCCAGAGCGCCCGGTGCTGAGGGGCAAACTAAAATGGCAGCCTGGAGCCCATTTTCACTGCAGTGTATCGATATGGTCTGAATAGTCTCAGCATTCTATCCGCTAAGATGCAGCGCTAGCGCTCACTAGTACGGGCCCCTATCAGAAAGGTGCTTTCCAGGCGGAAGGCCAGGTCCCTATCTCGCCCTTCGATGGCGCCCGCGCCAACTGGCCACACCCGTTGGTTTCGCCTTTCCGCTCGCCTTAGGCGGTACGGAAGAAGAAGGCAGGCCCAGCGGCCTGGTCGCGGAAGGCGAAGCCCATGAAGACAAAGTCCAAGGGCACGCGGTAGTCTCAAGCACTTCGGGCGACGAGGATTCATAGACTGGTTGAGAGGGGTCGAACCTCCAGCCCCCGGACTGATAATGGCAAGGATTCAAGAACCTCTGAAAGTGTTTCATTTGAGCGGGGATGCCCTTATAAAGGATTTTCTGATGAATCCGCAAAGTTGCTTTTTGCGGGGTCAACATCACGTACCTTGTTCAGGGGTCCCTCATTTTTCTTGTTACATCTAAAAGCGGCAGGTTTCGTCGGAGTGACCCCTGTTGCAGGGGAGGTATGGCAAGCTTGTCCCTGACAAGGCAAAAGGACCTAAGGACCAGCTGGTGGAAGTAGGGGGACCCCTTTGTTTCTTTCTTTCTTTCTTTCTTTCTTTCTTTCTTTCTTTCTTTCTTTCAGGCCTAGCCGAACCCATGCGGAATTCGGGGGACCCCATGAATATGTTCCTTCTTGCTGGTTTTGAACATCAGTTTTAGGTGAGTCTCCCTTAGGGGTGCTGGAAGGAGAAATGTAGGAAACCCGGTAACTTTAGCACAAAAGGCGGTCGCAATGGGACACTGGTTGAATTTGTGCGGACCTTCTTTTCAAGACTCAGAGTTTGGGTTTGGCACTGGCCGCCCCTTCGACATCTCATTCTCCGTGGGCTCGCGTGAGTGTGTCTTCAAATCCGGCACGCCACTAGGAACAAACTCGTTTCCCTTCTCGTTCCCTAGAATTTTTAGCAAAGCCCACAAAAGGGGTTTCCGTCAAAACCACCCGGACGAGTAAATAACGATGGCACACGTATGCGCTTGTAGTTACAACCACTCATGGATTGATGGCACTTTGGACTGAACCGCTGCCTCCGGTTTCCAGCACTGTTACTGGTCTCAAGGTGCACGCTAAGAGGCATGTGCAGGGCTTGAGGCCGAAGGGCGTCGAAAACCGATGGATTTGAAGATAGTGCGGGCATGGGGCGATCTCACATCCCGGCATGGGGAGTGCTGGGGTAGGCGTTACTCCGGGACCAACCTGCCGGGCGTCCAGTGTTTTTTGTTCAATTTGCTTATTTTTCGACGGCTATTGTCGGCGACCGGATGGAAGACGGCTTGGCTTGTTTAGAAGCAGCCCGGCAGGTTGTTTGGAGTGCGAAGGTTTGTGAGTCCTCATGCCCTCAATGCGATTTGAGATAGAAAGATGCGGCAGAGAGCACTGGGAGTGGGGCTGGGGGAACAGTACTGCGAACAGCAATGGAGTCAGGCTGCGAGAGACTATTGCATCCGGCTGTTCATGAATGATCAATAATGATCATGTCTCTGCAACTAGGCCAAAGGGCTGGCTGTCGAGGCCTTGGCTCAAACGTGCCCATGCCCGCGCATTGATGCAGCCCTTCCAGCCGCACTCGCCGTCGGCGCCCAGCTCGGCGCGGCGCCCGGCGCCGCGCGACGCGCGCGCCGCGCCCCGCGCGCGGGGCGCGCGGGGCGCGACGTTTCCGGCGCGGCACGCGCTGGCCGCCGGGCTCGGCTGGTCGGCCTGGAAGTGCGCCCACTCGGGCCGCAAGGCACGGGGCACGGCACAGAAGAAAACAGGGGAGGCGTTGGGGATTCACCGTGGAGTAGCACATCTTGCTGGACAACAGGGAGCTTCTGATTGGGGGTCGGCTGCCACCAGGTCGCTAGCTCTTGGTAGGTTCCAGTTGCAGGTTCTGGGCAGGCTTTTAATCCGATGCTGGGGATTGAGTGAGTTGCAGATGCTTTGAGTCAGGCTTTGCCACGGTCCGCTTCATTCTCGCTGAACTCAGTCATGAAAAGAAGCAGTTTTTCCGAGACGCCCCGCAAAGTATGGTCAAAACACGGCTTTACTAGCCTCAGCTCAGAAAGCCCTATGTATTTAGCCTGGTCCTATTTGTTTTCTTTGTCACAGGGGTTCTTCGTAAGGCACATGTGAACCTTGATAACCATGTTCGTCGGGCCAAGGGTCAAGTTGGTTTTGGGCGTTGCTCAACTGCCCCCAAGAACCATGGAAGCCGGCTATGCCAAGTCTTGCGCGAACGGAAACGGTCCTCGCCCAACGCACGGATGGTCAATTTAATGCCTTGACCCCCCTGATCGACTGGATTCCCGTTGGCTGAAGGAAACACAGCTTCCTATTCTGGAGGGTTGGTACCTCCTTGTCAAGCAGGAGAGGGGCAGGAGCCATTCTCGACAATTTGTTTGCCCGTTTATTCAAAAACTTCGGACACGGGCGACTGAGCCTTCAGGTCTTTCGACTCGCCACCACCACCAAGGAGCCCGTCGCAGCCCAGGCCGCAGGTTTCAAAAGGGGTGGTCGACCAGCGTCACCGAGCCGAGGGTTGGGCGGATTTGTTAAAAGTCAGACCCTGGTTCCTCGTAGAGCTGAAAGGACCGAAAGGATGTTGGTTTGAGGGAGGAGGTTTTGGGGGTGTTCCTGCGTGTCTGTGTGCTTGCGCGTTTGTATGCGTAGGTTAGCTTTTGGGTAAGAAATGCATTGCACTGGTTTCACGCTGGTTCTAACTAGGGTCATCAATGTTGCCAAAAGGTTTGTTTGTTTGGTTGTTTCCCTGTGTGTTTGTGTGCGCGTGCGCCTTCCTGTGCCCAGTTTGCAGCCATGGGAAACCCCAACACCTGTGGATTCTCCCTTTCATGCCTTTTCTGCGGAAAGGGCCCAGTTAGAAGCAGGGTGATCCTGTTTAAACACATTTTTGGACAATGATATAGTGCCTTCAGGAGTGTAGATTCCCCTTCGCAAGCTGGTCTCCCAAAAACTGGCGCGATCGAACAATAACAACTGGGTACTATAGTGGCTTCCCTTGTCGACCCTGCACAAACTTGAGGGTCCAAAGTCTTTTTTCTATGGCCCCCAAAAGCAGGTGTCTCGTTTTTGGGCTCAGGTGGAGACGGCCAAAAGCCCAAAGCTCCGCCTACGCGAGGATGGAGGTGGGGGCCCGTATCACTGGGCAACCTTGTTATGGTACCTAGGGCGTCACCAAAGCTTCGGGGCATGAATCTGTTTGGGATTCCCTGAGTTACCAGTTGGATGGTTGGTCTGGGGTTCCCAAACGTTCTTTGCTGAGAACTAGCAAGACAAGTTTGCCCAAGATCAACAGCATGTTCGGGCTTGCCTACGGAACCTTAGGCCCCCATGCCCACAAGCAAAGTTCTGAGAGCAATCCTAATGGGGGTTGCTTTGGTTTCCTGCATGCTGTTTTCTCCTTTTACAAGTGGTATATCGCCTGCACACCAGCAAACAATCCACTGCTTTCATTTCACCTGCAGGGTCATAAGTACCGTGGCTGTCTTGCGGGAGAGGCTCACGTTGGGCCTTACACCCAGTTGTTCAAATGAATTGCACGCCCGTCCAAATCCTTTTTTGTTTGGTGGCGGCCTTGGGAGCCACCTAAAACGGAATCGACCCTACAAGGGTGTCAGGGGGTCCTTATGTGAGGTTCGGTCAACATGTTCAGTAGTTCTTCTGGTTCTTCTGGTCCGTTTGGGACACGCAGAAGGCCATCTGGGGCTATCGCAGTGAGTTGCGAGGCCTGCAGAAGATGACCATCACCACGCCGCTCTTCTATGCCAATGGCTCTCCGCACATCGGTGGCGCGGATGCAAAGTGTTCAAAGATCAGAGGCGAGGCTTGTCGGCTTGTCCTAGGCCCCAAATCCACACCACACCCCGCAAAGTCACACCTCTCTGTGCCAGGGGACTGGTTGGTTGGCTGGCTGGCTGGCTGGTTGGTTGGTTGGTTGGTTGGTTGGTTGGCTGGTTGGTCAGCTGGGCGGCATCGCCGTCCTCGCTTGGACTAGGGCTGCCTATTGGCTTTGATTTGTTGGCAGTTCAGAGTCGCTCCGGGCTGGTTTTGGGTGATTGTTGGGCTTGCTGAGGTCTTGTATATTGAGGGCGGGTCTTGGGTTTGTTTGAGGTTCATCTAGGCTGAAAGGGCTGATAGTCAGGATGCTGCTGGGAGGGTTTAAGGTTGACGTTGAGTCGGTTTGGGTTGGCTTGGAGCTGATTTGCGCGAGGTGTGCGGCCCGGTTTTTGCACTAGCCTTTGGTCTGCTTTCAGGGCGTGGTTTGTGCAATTTTTGGGCTGCTTTGGGATTGGTTGTGGGGCGGTGCCCCAAACCAGCCAAACCAGCCCAGAACTTGCGCAACCACGCCCCTGAAGCAGCCCAAAGGCTGGTGCAAAAACCGGGCCGCACACCTCGCGCAAATCAGCCCCAAGCCAACCCCAACCGACTCAAAGTCAATCCTAAACCCTCCCAACAGCATCCTGGATATCAGCCCTTTGTCAGAGCCTAAATGGCCCTCAAACAAACCCAAGACCCGCCCTCTTTATATAAGACCTGAGCAAGCCCAACAATCACCCAAAACCAGCCCAGCCCAGAGCAGAACTGCCACCAAAGTCCGAGCGAGGCCGGTGATGCTGGGGATGCTGGGGATGCGGCTCACCAGCCGGGGCTAGTAAAAAAAAGAAACCTCAACCAATATGTCAATATGTCAGGCGTTTTTAGGAGTTTCAAGGGGATATGCCTCGGAAGGGTTGTGGGGTATGCCCATGCCAGGTGTCCCCTCCAGGCTTCAACCGAACTGGGTTTTGGGAGTTGATGGGTTCTGCTTCAGACTGGCGCATCACCAGTGACTCAGGATCAAGCTGCAGCCATGTTTGGCCGCCGCCCCTTCATGTCTTGCTGCAATCTGGTTCAAGCATGGTTCTAGCCGCTCAGTAGTTATGAGGGAGTTGTCTTTTTTGCGTGCATGCTCAAACGTCAATTTGCCCAGCCTTGTGGCGGCAGGTAGGAAGAGGGAAACTGCCAAGTGAGAAGCAACTGACAAATCTATTCCGTTCATCGATGTGTTATCCTTCTGGTAGCGGCATCCTCAGGTTCTTCCAGCCAGGGGGGAAGGATGACCAGAAAGCACTCGCGGCACCAGCCGACCTGACATGTGCCCAGGAAGTGCCTACCCGGCCATTGCAGCGGACGTGATGGCTCGTTATGCCAGACTGCACAATGCGGAGGCCCGAGCGGCGCGCCGGCGGATCGAAGCGGCGGGCGAAGCTGTGGCAGCACGTTACCGTGGTGTGCCCCACTTGTCCTTCGAAGGCCCCCCGAACAACGCCCCCCCCCCCCCCACTTGTTGTTCGACCGCAAACTCAGCCTGCCCTTTACAAATGACTCCATCCCAGTGGTCCATCCCAGTCCTTCCAAGCAGTCCGCTTGCCCATGCCCCGACTCCGGCAGGTGCACTACGTCACAGGCATGGACGAGCACGGGGAGAAGATCGCCCAGACGGCGGCACCCTGCGCCGCACGGGGTGATCCCCCAGACGCGTTTGACGTGGATGGCCCATTTTTGGCCGCAGTTCGGGCCCCATGAAAAATGGAATCAACTCCAAACAGGGATCCAGACATTGGGTCTACCAGGGTCAACGGGAAGTGGGAGTGGAAAAGCCGGTGGGGCACGTGGCTGACGCAACTTCCAACAAAGGGAAGCTGACAAAGGAGGCCGTTTGTCATTGGGCATTGAAAGGGGGTAAGTAGGTTATTCAACCCTAAGATCCCGAAAGGATATCCTTCTTCATGCTGTTTTCTGGGCTTCTCCCACCGATTTTCTATGCCGACCGATTCGGAATTGGAGCAACCCTGTTGTCGGAAGTGGCTATGGCCTTTCTGAGGCAAGATGCAGGCGGTTGCTCTTGACCTATTTTTAGGAGGACCCAAAAAAGTGAGTGGGTGTGTGGCCGCGCGCGGCGTTCGTCAAGGGGTCATTTTGCCATGACAGAGCATGGCAAAAGAAGCACCTCGCCAGACATGGCTGGAGACAAGCCACCCCCAGAAAGCCCACGTGACCAGGGGTTTGCCAGGGACCCCTCTTTGACACACCACCACCCGAAATGCAGCGCACCCAGCCACCGGAGGTGCACTTAAGGGTTACATCCCAAAACCACCTGCGTTACAAGGGCATCCCTGAAATTAACTGGCCCAAAATGCAAGATTTAAGCCCTGGTTGGGGATGGCCGGCGCAGGTTTTCGATCACAAGGCTCTCACCCCGCATCTCCACCAACGCCGACGTCTGAGGCCAGCCAGGAGAAGACTCCTCAGGAGTTGGTGGATAGCATCGCGGGGGAGTTCCAGGATACCAGCGCACGCATGCTACTACCCAGGGGGGGAAGGGGGAATAAGTCATTCCAGGCCGCGTGAGGTAGGCCGCTTGAGTTGAGGTTCAATGGTTGAAAGCTGATGTACAACCAGTGCAGATAGCATAGATGGGCTCCACTGGGCTCGGTCTGGTTCTTTTCTTGACCAAGGACACATTCGCAAGGACACATTCGCCGCATCCCCTAAAGGCAACGCCTTCCATGGTCAAGGGCTTACTGTGCTTGAACTGAACTAAGCTTTCAGTCCACGCACAATGCCCAGGCGGTTGAGCATCACAGAGGCTCCCCCAAAAATTGTTGGCGTGTTTCTTGTTTGGGAGGCTTGGTTGGATTAAATGAAGCCCACCTGAAGCCAGCTGTTTTTGAGGGTGACACTGAGACAGCCCATCAAATGGATCCATGCGGGGTTTGTGACTTTGAAGCGGGCTAGCAGGGTCGCGACAATCTCGCAACGTTACTGCCACATGCGCATCAAGAGCCTAATGAAAGCAATCCATGTCATGGCCAGCTGCCATTCCATGTCTGGGTCATAGTCATCCAACTTCGACTGCCGTAGGCAGCCCTTAGCCTTCCATTTGTTTAAGAATATGTTCAATTTTCCCCTGTTGTTTTAAAAGGGATCGATCACTACTGGACATATTGTTAATTTTCCCAGGGGGCGAAAAAGCAAGTAGCCGTGCAAACCGCCGTTGCCACGGGCACGGCGTTCCTTACGGGTCCTTTCGCGGAAGACTCCTACGACGTGGGTCAGGACCTGTGGGAGATGCTCCAAGTGAAGCCGGACCATTTTGCTCGGACCACCCCGCAGAAGCACAAGGATGAAGGGAGTGGGTCCACGCAAATCGACCGGAGATGACTGGTTTGACCGTCAGTTGGTTTCATTCCCTTGGTCAAAATGATTGCTGGTATGACCCCAAAGAAAAGGTTTGCATTTTTTTAAATCTCCCAGGTCCTTTGGGCAAGTGAGGCTTGAGAATCATATGGAATAAGGCATGCATGTCTTAGAGAGAGCCAACCTCAATTAGTTCCACTGTATACTGCGGAAGTTTGTAGTTCAACTTACTTTGGTCAATTCACGGTTTGATTTGGTTGAAATAGTTTTGCTAGCTTCACCATGCTTCACCTTCCAACCTTGTCGGATCTGAGACCCTAAAAAGGGTGCTTGGAGGATGTTCGCCTTTGCCAATTGGCCAATTGGCGCCTGTAGGAGATTGTCCACGAGATGTGGCAGCGCTGCCTGGACAATGGCGACATCTACAAGAAACTCGCCCCAAGAAAGCTCACCTGCTCATGTAAGCCTGCGATGGACCTGCATTTGCGCCTGCTCCGAGCCAGGGGAAACACTCGCGTAAGGGAGAGCAAGTCAGCATGCGTTGGGGGCAGCTGATTCCCCACCCGCAGGTTTGCCTCTCTGGTGCCTCGTGCCTGAAACCAGCACAGGGCCGTATGAACTGGAGGGCTGCGCGGCCGATGGGCCAAGCAATGCGCTGATTAGGCCATCCCATTTGCAGAAGTGAAGGCATGTTTGCTAATGTTTCGGATTTGTCACTCTTCCCCACTTGACTTTATGTGTACTGCTGTTTTTGGGAAACTCATGTTACAGGATGCACTCTATTCGAGTGTCCCTGGCTTGTTTTTTACATCACCATTTGGCCAAGAGGAGTTTCCTCGAAGTGGCCGGTGATGTCTTTAGGTTGCAAAGGACATTGATGCGCACTGGGGCCGGAACCTCACCCGCCGAGGAAAGATTACACCGGCTGGTACTGCGTAGGCTGCGAGGCCTACCTGGATCAGGACGAGATGTCGGAGGGTCACGTGTGCAAGATCCACCAGCAGCTCAGCTGCAAAACCTGAGGGATGAAGCTTCCAAAAATTGCTTTTGGTTCCCCTCCATGCGCTGAAAATAAGGTTGTGTTTTTATTATTCGTTGGTTTTAAAGGGAATCGCTTTCACGACTGGAAATGGGATCTCATGTTTTCCATTGGGCTGAAGCAAATGGACTCGCCCGCCCAAGGCAAACCAACCTTTGGAACTTGTCTTTGTTTTGATCGTCAATCTTTACTGCCAAAACTAGGGCGGCCGCAACATGAGCTCGGGCACTCCTTGATGTGGGTGCTATATCTTCAAACACTCCCCCAAAAGAAGCTACGGGATGAATCATTCCTAAATTGTCCAGGGACCTCCAATTTGGCCACCAGGCAACTCACGTTGGTGAATGCAGCATCTCGAGCGGATCTCTACCTTAGCCAGCCCAAGCTGGCAAATCTTCGTTTGGCCAGTCTCAAGTTATTGTCATTCCGCCTGCGAAAGGTGCTGACATCCGCTTGGGCAACTCGTGGGAAGCATAGAAAAACGGTTCCTTCTTGTTTGGGCTTTCTACTAAACCTGGTCAACCCAAACAAGGGTTGCATCTTTTCGCCGGCTGTCGGCTCATCAGCCGGCCTTTGTGCGGGTTTCGCCACCGGTGGGGGGGGGGGAGCCTTGGCCGCCTTGGCCGCCTTGGCCGCCTTGGCCCAGGAAGGTCTGCGACCACCGCAGCGAGGAGAACTACTTCTTCCGCCTCTCCAAGTACTGGGACGCGGTGAAGAAGCACGTGGAGGCCGGGGAGCTTGGAGCTTTGCGCCTGGGAAAGCGCAGCGAAAGCATGCGGGGGCGCTTGGCGCAAGGACGGTTGGCCGGTGGAGAGGAAAGCCAAAAGGGAAACCACCGTTCTTGTTTTTTCGGCGGGGGTCCGTTCGGATCATAGCCAAAGTCACTTCAAAGTAGGTGACCCATGGTATGGTCGGTGGCCAGGAAGGGAATTTGGGGACGTGAGTTGGGGGAATGCAACCCTAAGCAGTGCCAGGTCCGCGAGGCGGGTTGAAAGACTTCGGTTTGGAGATGGTCAGTTCCCCAAACCCGAGCCCGGCCCAGCACCATGCCTTCTGTCGCATGTAGCTACCAGCTCCAGAGACAACTATGGTGGAGCCCTCGTGGCATTCGGGCCCTGTCTTGTCATAGCATGGTTTGACAAAATTGAGCTCGCACGAGGTTCTTTCCCCATGCGCCATGCTCTTATTTGATGATTTGTCAGGTGGTTTGGAAGTTACGGGGAGGTTTTCAATCTACCCACAACAAGTGCAAGGGTTTCAGACCACGAAGCCGATTCAAAGGGTAACTTTACCCCCGGGGGGGGGGGCATTTGCGCCATTACTTTACCCTCACATGATCACGTGGATTGATGCCGGCTGAGTGCAAAATCTGAAAGCGCGATTCGTTTTTGTGGAAGCTCTTCAGTTTCTGGGCCAACCACACCCTCCCAGGTGGTCCTGATCCAGAATCTAACACAAGGATTAAGGGTTGCCTTGAAGGGCCCAGTTTGGGGCATATTCAGACTCGGGTTCCCAAATCGTGCCCAGCCCCTTTTGGCCCTTTGAACACACATTTCACCCTTCCCATCACGGATTCAGAACACTCGGCGGATTCTTGGGTTACAAAAGGTCAATTCCCTTGTTGTTCAGGATGTTTTTCGTGGATCAGGATGGGCCAGTCCCCCCCTCTTTGAGCCGCCCAGCTGAACCGCCCAGGAGACGCCGGACTTCATCCTGCCCACCAGCCGCCGGAGCCAGATCCTGGCTGCCAGGCTGTAAGGTTTCAGGGGTTCCATCCGGGCCAGGCGTATGGCGGTTTGGCTTATGAGAGGAGTCCAAAAGGAAGTTGTTTGAAGAAGATCGATCTAGATATGTTTGAAAACTGTCCCTCAGTTTCCGGTGGACAGGGGTGCTGGGGCTTCCTTTGGTTGGACTCACTAAGAGGAGGAATTTGTGCACCTCCGTCTTGGTAGCGTGTGCAGCAGCGTGCAGCAATCTCCGGAGCGGCTGTGGTTTGGGAGTAGTTATCTTTTGGGGTATCATGGTGTTCTTTGCAGGACGCCGACGGGGGACGGGACCCAAGTTTGGCTGTGCCGTTTTTGAGGGAACTATGGGAATATATGGGAATCCTTTTTCGGGGTGGCAAGCCGTGGCCCTCAGCCTCCAATGTTGATTTGCAGGAGGGTAAAGGGGAACCGCACAAATTTCGGTAGCAATTTGAGCTACTGCAAGCAAACGGTCCCTCTCAGTGGCTATGGGGGGGGGGGCAATGAGGACTATTGAGGTTCACGACCCTCCAATGTCTTCCCTGTGGCTTTGAATCAGTGCATAGCTTCTCTTGAATTTTCCAAAGGCCTCTCCCCCGTTTCATTTGAGGGCGATCCCCGGCATGGCTCAAGGCTCCCACGTGGTCGTAGCCGAGGTTTGGCTGGACGACGAGAACAAGCGGGACTTCTCCATCAGCCGCGCCAGCACCTCTTGGGGCATCCCGGTGCCGAAGGACGACTCCCAGGAGGGGCTCAAAAATCCCGCTCCCCCCCCCCCCCCTCCCGGTGTTTTGCTGGGTATCAAATGAGGCGGCTTGACGAAAAGTGGTTGGCCCCCTCCTCCCCCCCCCCAAACAGAGGCATGGATTCATCATTTTTGGGCGTCGTGATTTGATGAGATTCAGGGGGCCCAGTGAAAGACCTGCCAAGGGTCAAGGCCGGCAAAGTGATTGCATCAAATCTAAGACCTCGTTCACTGGACTTTGTTTTTCTTCTTTTCCCGCAGTGGATGATGAACAATTGGATCAACCGCCATGAAAACGGCTTTCAATTTGTGGTCACACTTAGGTGCATGGGGGGCAGGATCCAAATCAACTTGCCCGACTTGGTCTAAGTATTCCCCGCGCAGGAAGGGATTCTTTCTGATTGTTTTGCGGACTAGCTGCCCAGTGGGAAATGGAGCCCACTTCTGTGATGCAACGAAAAGGCATTCCCCAAGACAAACCCCCTATAAAAAGGGGGCGATTCCCTTGTATCACAGAAGTGGGGATGAACCCCTTGATCCCACCACCTTGGTCAAGAGCCGCATCCGCGGGGGGAATGGGAGAGTTGGATCTTCGCGAGTACACCTCTCACAGGTGATCTACGTGTGGTTCGACGCGCTGCTGGGCTACATGTCCTCCCTGCTGGAAGAGGACGACCCAGCCACCTTGGACTCTGTGCTCAAGCGCGGCTGGCCGGCGGAGGTGCACGTCATCGGAAAGGATATCATGAGGCGGGAGCTGGACCCAGAAGATCGGCGCACCAGGCTTTCCGAGGGCCGCAAAAATAGCCAGTATCGGGGGTACGTGTGCTTCATTAGGGTACTCTCAGGTTGTTTTGTCCGACTTTCTATGCCCAAGTTTGATCGCTTTCACTCCGGAATCGACTTCTTTTTTCGCAAGGGCAGACAATTGGCAGTTGCTCTTGGGGTTGATTCTCTTGCCTGATCTTCTGGATGGGTCCTTTGTTCTCTTCTTTCGGTTCCTGATTCGCACCCTTCGCTCGATTCGGTCCGTTCGGTTCGACTTGGCAGGTTTCACGCCATCTACTGGCCGGCCATGTTGATGTCCGCGGGCCTGCCGCTGCCAAAGCACATTTGCACCCACGGGTTTCTCACCAAGGCATGGGCCGGTCCGGGCGGCTTCGAAGTGCTTTCGCAGTGTTTTTGTTTGGTCTTCCGCGAAGAAACGTATCAACCTGGGTTGACCAAGAAAGGATGCCGCGATTTTCAGGCATCTGCGCTTTTTACTGAGTGACCGACATAATCGCTGGCTTTGTGGTTGAAGATGATGTCACATGTCCAACATACCTCTACCCAATTGTTCAGTGGCGCCACAGGGTTCTCTTTTCCAACCAGGGCCGCTGGACTGGGCCTTGTTCCAAAAACATGGCGGACTACCTCGTTCTCTTGGCCTGTCTCATTCAGACCTGAGCTTGAACATGTTGGGCTGGCAAGGGTTGGGGATTACGCATGGGCTTATAAACCTCCTGAGAGTTCATTGGGCTTACAAGCCCACAGGTATCCAGAGCGTTCGGCTTCCAAGTGATGGATTGCCATGTTTCAAGCAGCCTCAAGCGGCAGGACGGCCTCAAGATGGGCAAGTCCCTGGGGCGCCTCGGCACCTCAACAGGCCAGAAAGGCTCCAGGTACACCGCTGTGTTAGTGGGAGGGCGGTCGGTTTTGGAGGCAGCTTCCCTTTCGTGCAATTCGAGAGGAAGGCAACAAGCATGACATTTTGGACATGAACCCCCAGCAAGCCGCACGGCCCTCAATTGGGTTGTTTCGAGGGAACCGCGCAAGACTCGAGGTCCCATGCATTGTACCTGCTTCAGGACGGTGAAAAAAACACGTTTAGCCTCCGCAAGTGTAGGTTGTCCCTTGGGTCTGAAGGTTTCGGTGGCAAGGGGAGAGGAAAACCAAAGGCGACCCATCAGTCTTTTTTTTGGGGGGACCGGGGCTCAAAAAAGGGGAGCAAATCCAGGCAGGTCTACCAAGACTGTTTTTGGTTCAGCCCCTGCTTGGCCAAAGTTGCCCAACAAGTGGTGTGTTAAAAAGTTGGGTTTGGGTTTAGGCTTAGGGTTTAGGGTGTGTGGTGTGAAAGAAATGGTTTTGCCCCCCCCCCCCCCCCCCCCCGAGTTCGCTCGTTGTCTTCCAAAAGGAATGTGGTGGAGCCGGTGCCGCTGGTGGAGAGCTTCGGCTCCGACGCGGTGCGCTTCTTCTTCGGAGCGGGGCTGTCGTTTGGGCTGGACGGGGACTTCAGCTACGAGGCCTTCATCAACAAAGTGAACAGCCCCTTGCGGAGACAGGGAGGGGTGGCGGTGACCTGCGGGGGTCGTTTTTTTGTTTCTGTTTGTTTTTTCCCCCAAAAGAACGCATTTCTGTGTTTGGGTTTGTTTGAAACCACCCCTGAAAAGGTAATTGCTCACTGTGCGCTCCCAGGGACCTGCCAAAAGGGAGGTGGACCAACGGCGGGGCAAATGGTAGGTGAGAGGACCGAAGGACTTGTGGCAAGGCGTTTTTTTTTGAGTGTGCGTGCGCCAAACGAAGGGGCTTGTTTCGCAAGTTGTTGTTGTTGTTGTTGCTTCTGCTGCTGCTGCTGCTGCTGCTGTTGCTGCTGCTGCTGCTGCTGCTGCTGCTGCTGCTGCTGTTGTTGTTGTTGTTGTTGTTGTTGTTGTTGTTGTTGTTGTTGTTGTTGTTGTTGTTGTTGTTGTTGTTGTTGTTGTTGTTGTTGTTGTTGTTGTTGTTGTTGTTGTTGTTGTTGTTGTTGTTGTTGTTGTTGTTGTTGTTGTTGTTGTTGTTGTGTTGTTGTTGTTGTTGCTGTTGCTGTTGCTGTTGCTGTTGCTGTTGCTGTTGCTGTTGCTGTTGCTGTTGCTGTTGCTGTTGCTGTTGTTGGTTGGTTGGTTGGTTGGTTGGTTGGTTGGTTGGTTGGTTGGTTGGTTGGTTGGTTGGTTGGTTGGTTGGTTGGTTGGTTGGTTGGTTGGTTGGTTGGTTGGTTGGTTGGTTGGTTGGTTGGTTGGTTGGTTGGTTGGTTGGTTGGTTGGTTGGTTGGTTGGTTGGTTGGTTGGTTGGTTGGTTGGTTGGTTGGTTGGTTGGTTGGTTGGTTGGTTGGTTGGTTGGTTGGTTGGTTGGTTGGTTGTTGTTGTTGTTGTTGTTGTTGTTGTTGTTGTTGTTGTTGTTGTTGTTGTTGTTGCGGGGTTTCCTTTTCGTCCTGTGTCTTCCTGATAGCCCGAATCCCAACGGAGTGCAGTTTTCCGACACATGCTCGGAGGAGCAAACCGGAGCGGGGTTATTGATTTCTTTGTTCAGCGGAAAAGCAGGGGCGGGGCGGGGCGAGTCAATGTTGCAGTCGATGCCGCTCAATGAGGCAAGCAACAGGGACTTGTTTTTTCTTTTTTTGTTGCGGGGGGGGGGGGGGCCATGCGCAAGTATCGGGCGACTGCGAGGCAGCCTGGCGAATGAGCTGGGGAATCTGGTGCACCGCATCCTCACGCTGCTCCGAAAGAACCTCCAGGAGCGGCCAAGTTGTTCTATGCTCGGGCTTCTACTTCCACACACTTCTCTCTCTCTCTCTCTCTCTCGCTGTGTTTTTGCACGCGCACGCTTGTGCGGCTGACAGTTCCAGCTAGGGCGTATATACACACACACACATATATATATATATATAGCGCCGCAACGCCTGCGGAAACATGAGTGTTCCCCTTAAGTTGACCAGGGAAACCAACAAGCACAATGCCACAAAAGACAACACACACACGCTGCCACCCCTTGACCTCTTCGGGTCCAGTGCATCCAGGTTTCGTTTCCACGCGCGCTGAAAGACGAAGGAGCCGGCCTCGGCGCTAGACCTGGGAGATCTGGCGGAGCTGGAGAGCCACCCGGCACCTCGGCAACGTGGAGAAGTTTGGAGGGTCCCCCAAAAAGGCGGTTCTCCCTTTGGCTTCCCTTGAACACCAACCTAAAGGGGGGTTCTTGGAATATTAGATACAGCCACAAAGAGATGGGAGTTGTCTCTATTAATTGTCGTGGGAATTGATGGGAAAGAAAGATGGGATTCTCATCCAACCATTGCCTGCTGATTTTTCCCCCACCTTTCTCTCTCTCTGGGCGTGTATACATTTGGACAGTCATTCGGATGTGTTATCAGGATGCTTTACCGGGTTTCCAGCTCTATTGCTTGATCACCTTTCGAGGAGTCTCCTTTTGGTGGCGTTAAAGTGGACATTGTAGGGAACTCTGTTTTATCGGGTGCGTTCCACAAGCCAACAAAGCTTTGTTGCATTTTGCCAAGGGATGTTAGGACTAGCTTTTTGCCAACCAATGGGTTTTCCATTAAACCACAAAACGTTGAACGCAGGGGAGCAGACAGCAACCGAAATCAACCGAGAAAACTGGCACCCCTTGGTTCCTTGTTTTCCCAGCGTCAGCTTTGCTTTCTGTTGGCGAATGAGAGCCTTTGGGCCATTTTGCTTTTGGGGGAGTTGTCCGCCAAGGGATTCGTTCACTTGGTTGCTTTGTCCTTGTTGGGTGCCCGAGTTTCGTTTCTTTCTGGGCGGAGGCGGGGGGCAAAGAAGGAATGAATATGTCAACCTGCCGGGGAAGACTGCCTGTTTGGAGGCATCAACGCATGGACACGACACTATTTTGCAGGCCGAAGCCCTAAATGCCAAGTACCAAAAAAGGAATGGGGGTTGCAACATCGACACAAAAACCCGAAAGATCTAACCTCCGCCCCCCTCCGCGCCCGTTTTTTGGGACCTCTTGCAACATCTCAGGTCCGGGCGGCGGCTCTGAGGGCGCCTGAGGCTGTGGCAACCTTCTACGAGCAGCTGGAAATCCCCAAGGACGGGATGGGAGCATAGGTGTCCTTTTTGGGTTAGTGTGGTCCAAAATAGAAGGGTTTGGTTTAGATGGGTGTTGTTCCATCTATTTTCCCAAAAGGACACCTGTGGATGGGAGCTACTTCCAGTGGTAGTTGCCTTTGTTGTTCTTTTTCCCTCAAAGGTTTGCTGCGGGCCATAGATGGCGTTTTTGCGTCTTCTTCTTCTTCTTCTTTGTGCTCTCCGGCTAATTATGCTGATATGGGTATGGGTCAAAATTGAACCGCCAGGCGACCGGTTCCATGTTTCCATTCGCCCAGTTCCATTTTTTTGGGCACCTATTTTCTGACCAACCGCGAAATAATGGTATTCTTTTTCCCCGAGGAGGTCTGACGGGTTGGGGCATTTGGTCCGGGTGTTTGTCCGGGCCCAGCTCCGGCGTGCCACGAGGCGGTCACGGCTGCGCTGGAGATTGCGACGGTGGCGAATGTGAGGATGAATGAGGCCGGGGATGCAGGTCAGCCACAACCAAAGCCCGGCTAGATGAAGGTTAGTAAGGGACAGCCCCCTTGGCATAAACAGCTGCTAACATGGAAGCGCACAAACGCACAGAACCCCTCCCCAATTCCAGCGGTCTTCCGCGCATTTTCATGGTTGTCGAAGGGTAAATGAGAGCGTTTTTTACAGGTACCCTTTGTCGAATGGTGATAGAGGGAAACCAACAGGACGCCGCTCATTTTGGTCCATATCCTATTTCGAGACCCATTTCAGATTTCAACTATCCAAATATAGGGCACAAATCACCTTCAACAGCGATTTTGGAAGATCCTCAAGTCACCTATATTCACCTGGATCCTAAAATCACTGGATACCTAAAATCCTTTGAAGGAGGATCCCCTAGAATCACCTGAGTCATCATCAAAACCCGGTATGAACATGGCCTACCCAGAACCACTGAGCGAGCTAACGTGATGGAATCAGCGTCAGTTTTGCGGGTTCCTGGAAAGAACGAGGCAGGGAGTTTGGAGCAACATCCCTTTGGGTGGCAGCCACCGTGAGAGACGACCCACCCCAAGTTAGGATGTTGAGGGTTTCCAAATTTCATAGTGGGGTGATTCCCCTTTGAACCGCCATCCTTGCTTTCCCCTTCAACCAGCAAGTGACCCATGGCCCCAGCTTCAAGACAAGCCATACGCTTTGGGCGCGTGTCCGAAAACAGGGGCCACCACCCAAAAACGGTGGGTGTCCCTGAAAACCCCACCCGCAAAAAGGGGGCCACAGCAGCAGGGTTTTTCGCGGGGGGTTGTCGTGAGGTGGAGCCCTGGGCGAAGTTCAAGCAGGGCGAGGAGGAGAAGCGGACGGCGATCCGGGAGCTCCTTGTTATGGCGGAAGGCGCGGGTGTGGGTGGGGTGGGGCTAGTTAGGTGGGGTGGGGTCAGGTGGGGGGGGTGTTGGGTGGGGTGGGGAGAGATGTCCAGGTCGCTTGCCCCAGGCGGATTCTGGGTCCTTTGGGCAACTGAGGGGGGAGGATGGCTGGGTGCTAAGCAACTCGCTTTTGGCAAGTCTGAACATGTCCCAAAACGAAACCAAAAAGAGCAAGCAGTAGCTTACCCGCAAGCAACATACCCACTTTTCCAAATCCCGCCCAACATAATTTATCAATCCACTTACCAAAACCCATATAATAATTAATAAAATGTTTCAAGTTATTCATTTTTCAAGAATAACTTAAACCATTTCAATTATCCTCAACCTCATTCTTTTTTAAATTATCAATGGGCTTCTTTGTTTTTTCATGCCTCGCTTTATGTTTCAATCTAACCTCACAATCACAAACAGAGCACACAAATATTTTCATGCCATAGTCTTTATTTGTTTCGCTTATCTCCTCTTTATGATTATCTCTCCATGTCTGCGAGTAGATTTTCATTTTTTCTCTACACAAATCACAAGTTTTATGATTTTCCGAAAATAACCCAATCTTTCTATTCATTTTACAATGTGAACAATATTGTTTTTCTCCTTCTTCTATTTCTTTTTGTTGCTTATCCATCGCGTTTTTCAGTCTCTTTCTTTGGTCTTTCTTTTTCTGCTTTTCACGGCATCTATCACAAGTTTTACAACTTCCTGAAAATAAATCTCTTGCCTTATAACATCCACAACACGCGCAATATTTCCTTTCCATAATCTTCCACTATAATAAGCAATCTACCCTTTAAATAGTTTTAGACACGAAGCTCTGCCGAGTTCGTGAGGTTTCACGACACAAATAATATTTTTGCTCTGGGGTAAGACCCTCATAGAAAAAAGCACACCAAACAACAAACCAAACAAAAAACCAAACAACAAACAATACAATAGATAATTACAAATATATTGAATAAATCTAATAATTGTATCTTATTAGTCTAAAACTATATTTTTAACATCTCATGCCTCAACAAAGATTTATTAAAATCACTAACAGAATAATAGTGTTGTCCTAATTTAGTTTCTATTTTAGTTATTGTATGAGTTGTTTTAGTCCAGTGTGAGGTTTGTTGCTTTTCAGCTATTCCTTTTTTCCTTCTGATTTTAACTTTGTCTCCAACATCTAAATCTGGATATGTGCGGGAATGTCTTGCTTTCATTGATATATTTAGTTTTACTTCAAATTCATTCTTTTTTAGTTTTGCTTGTGCTGGTGTAAAACCGGTGCTTGTGTGCTTCAATTTATTATTGTATGTTAATAAAATTTCAAAAATGTAGTCTCGCCAATCAATATCTTGTTTGCCTTTCTTTTCATCTGCTTCAACTCTGTTATACAGCATTCTTTTGAACGTTTTAATTGCTACTTCACTGAACGCTGCGTGGTTTCTTGTTGTGTAGTGTTCTATACCTGTCTCTTTTAGATAATCTTGTATAGATTTTGTATTTAATGCGCTTTCATCATCTGTAAATAATAATTTACAAAATCCGCCCATCTTTTTAAATCCTTCAACCAGTGCCATTGCTACATCACCTTCACTTTTGCTTTGAATAGGTATTACAGTCATTGCCTTACTGAAAATGTCTATCATTAAAGCACCAACCTTCATTTTCTGATTAGGAATATCATTGATAAAGAATAAATCAAATTGGAATTCATAAAATGCTTCCTTTGGAACAAATGAATTTTGCCCTCTTGGTTTTGTTTTGACTTCTATATTTTTATTGAAAAAATCGTCTATATCAGCTTTGGTTATTGACTTATCTTTTTCTCTACTTTGTTGAAGCGTGCGCTGTTTAGACCCATACCCGCTTCTATCATAATAAACACTTGCTATAATTTCTTGTTTAGATGCCATATAAATAAACAAGAAATTATATTAATCTAATTCTTCTAATTGTTGTTCTTGTTGCTTCAACCATGCTTGATGCTTTTTGCTTTTTTCATGCTTTGATTTATCGCCTTTCCTACACACAGAACCGCACCCACAAGTGGTTTTTATTGCTTGGTTTGCTAAAACCCGTTCCTTGCTCAACTCGTAATTTTTCTTTTGTCTTGCCTTAGTTGCCTCATGGTTTTGTATGTAATGCTCTCTATGTTTTTTGTTGATTTCCTCTTTCTTTTCAATATAGCGTTCTTTTGCTTTTTGCCTGAAATGTTCGGCGTTGTCTTCTCTGTATTGTTTCAATTCCTCCTGATGTTCCAGTTTGTATGTTTTGGCATTTGCGCTAATTTTGTCCCAGTTGTCTTTAATATATTCTTGTTTGGTTCGTCCGGCAATCACTTTATTTACACAGTCTGTATTTCTTATATGTTGCCCTTCCCTTGTGTGAAGTTCATGCTTAAAATTGCACGGATAATCCTCAACCCATTCTATTTTACAGTTTTCCACTCCAAACGCATCGAATAATAAAGTAGATGTCATCTTAGCATGTGTCTTGTTGCCTCTCAAATATTCAAAATAGTATGCTCTATGCCTTGCTAATCTCTGACTTAAACTTTCGCAAGTAGAACCAATATAACATTTAGAATAATCAGCACTGACTATTTTATATATTTTGCCGTTCTGATACTTATTGCTCATATATCCCTACTTATCTTAACTTATCCTTTCTTTAAACCCTTTTATCATAATAAATATCACTAATTATTTTTTGTTTATCCATATACTAAATTAAGATTTATTATATTGATAATATTATTTATAAGTTAAGTTCAGGATAATAAGTTAATTGATGATTATTAAATTGTGTATATATCTTACGTCTGTCATGCATCAGTTCAAAAATAATATTGATATCTCTCACGGTATTTTTCACATTAAACTTTTTGCTTTCAATTTCTGATTTAATGTCTTCTTTTAATTCACACCCTTCTCTTCTACGATGCAACAATATCCATAAAATGTGGTTAATCAGTTCATACTTTTTCTTACTGATTTTGAGAAATATTCTAACATAACTATAAGGTGGTCTTTCATACACAGTTAAAAATATTATAATGTCGTCTTCAACATTTCTATTATGTCTTCTTTTCAGATTTAAATGACATCTGATTAATTCTTGATTATCTCTCCATTCCTGACAAATTTTTCATTCATCTTCTTCACCCAAAGCATAATCAATAATATTATTAACTATTCCATTAGGTAAATTCATTTTGTATAATTCCATATGTTCTTTTTTGAAGTGGCAACAGTCATAGCATTTCTTATTTATATAATTATTTACTTCTTGTTCCTTCATTACTCTCTACTATATATAGGTATTATTTCTTTAAACCTTTTTTAGTCTAAAACTAAGATTTTATTATGAAAAAATATTAAAATCTTAATGAGCTGAAACATTACAATATACACAGAATGAAGTTGAATTATCTATATGGTGAGCGATTGAATTATCAAGGCGCTGACAAGTAAAATTGCTACATAATTTACCTTTCTTCGTTTCAAAGTTAAATGAAGTATTACACTTTTGGCATCTGGCGCGAAACTGTGATAAACACCATTCAGCACTAATGTATTCTTCCTCATCAATTTCTCTTTGAGCGCGACGGTCTTGTATCTTATAATTTTCTACTTTGTTTTTAAAATATATCATTATCATATTTTTATCCATTTGCTTATCAAAGTCTGGATTACAATAAAATTTAACTTTCCTAAAATCAACACATCTTGTAATCGCTGTCCATAAAAACTCTCTACTTACAAATGGTAAATTCCATTCATGTATTGTCATGCTTTCTTTTACACTTGCTCCCTGTGATGAGTGAGTAGTAGCACAATACGAATATATAAAATTAGCACCTACAATAGGTTCAAACAACACAAATTTATCTTCTTCCCTTGCTATATTTTGTAATGTTATTTGTTTTCCTAATTCATCATCTTGTATATTTGTAATCCTGTATCTCAAATTTATATTAACTCTGGGTTGTTTAATCCACTTTCTGGCAATTAAAATATCACCCACTACATACTTGGCATGTATGTTTAATCTCTCTCTGATTTCACTTGCTACATTTCGGCATCTAATATTGGTATAGGCGATGTTATGATCCGATGCCATTATATCATCAGTGAATTCACGATATTTGGGTATGATGTCATTAATTGGCAATTTATTTTCCCAAAAGTCAGCATACATATCATTAATTATTGCTCTGTTTCTTTCTCCTTCTTCACTATCTTTTGCACCTACTCTTTTACAAATTGTTAAGAAGATGTTGTATTTAAAGATTGTGTCCAAACAATTATCCATGTATGTCGCTGGATCTTGGCAGTTAGTCAGAATTTCTACTCCCTGTAATTGCTTGACATCACCAGTAGCAACAACAATTTTATCTGGATTATTCTGAATGAATAACCTTACTTTATTCAATACATATAAATTTGCCATATATATTTCATCAAATACAATTATATCAAATGGCGAGTAATCATACTGTGGCAATTTCTCTCCGGCATCTTCATGAACGGCAATGCTAAAAAACTTGTTGTATGTTGTCGCCTCTACTTCTTTCTCTTGTAAAAGTCTATTGGTTGGAACAACGAACAGAACATTATAATTCATTTTTTGGAAATATTCGCCTATATAACTCTTACCTGTGCCCGGTACTTTCCCTTTCACAAGGCACGGATTTTGTTTAATAACTTTTTTACAAATGCTTTCAGTAATCCATTCATCTTCAATAGAAATATTAATATTCTTAATCTTCGGTATTTCAGGTAATTCATTAAACTTATACTTATATGGTTGTGTCGGTAATGTTATAGTGTGCTTCTCTTCAAGTCTCCAGTCGCCTATTTCATCGCCAAATTTCAGCAGTCCTTCCCGCCATTTTCTCAAATAAGTATATCCATAAACTTTATCCAAATCGTCTTTGTGGATAGTAAAACTGTCCGTTTTAACACTATACACTTTAAT